GTCATTAACAGATTAAAACAAAGTGAAAGTGGTATTGCCATGACATGCCTTCCGTAGAGTATTTCGCTTTAGAATTTCTATTACGTTATTAGCGAAATAGGGTTTGTATTTTAAGAAACTTACATATGTTCTGTTGGATTTAGATAGGTATAATTAAGAGGTAAGCATGGAGATATATATGATACTAACGGTACCCTGCCATTTTTCGCTGTGGCACGTTGTGGTTTAAAAAAATAGATAAAAGCCATCTCTGAAGCGTGTTGTACGTCGTGTCAAAATTTAAGCTCAATCTGTGCAGAACTTTTTGAGTTTTTGAAGCGTACACAAACCAATTTAACATTCTTATATTTAGATATAGATAAAAGGTCAAAAAATTATTGAACTTTCATGCCACAGCGAGTAAAATCGCGATCGGAAGTTATAAACAGTTTCATTAACAAATGGGCTGTCCATATCCCTCTTGTAATAATTTAAAAAGCTACAAAGGAATCAATCAGAATGAAAATATAAAAACACAATAGTGACGAGCCATTGTAGACCATGAATGGTGACATAATTGACGACACGGTGGCCTTTATCGGCACAGAATAGTTCCAATCTAAGGTCATAGTCGATTACTTCAGAGCCCAATGACGTACGTACGTTGAACTTGTAAAGGGTTGATTTAATGGTGAGTAACAAGTTGTCACCATCAATGTCATTTCAATTTATTTTTGCAGATTTGAGTTAAATTCAGACATAATTTATCCCACAAAGTGTCGGTACGCAGTTATTCTACAATAAATATATTTCCTAATTTAGTCAACTAAGTTTTTTTTATAATACTTACTTCGCTGGCTCAGCGACCCAAAATATATCTCTGACATCAAAATCCGCCATTCTTTTCTATTCTGTGCCAATTTAGCCCAATCGGGCACTTTTATCTCTTTCATATCTATATCTACATGCGAAACTTGGACACTAACGATGAAGAAGGAAGAGAAACTCTGAACGTAAGATGTTCAAAAGATTTTGGGACCAATAATAGAAGATAATGGAGAGCGGAGACAAATATGTATATAATCGTTAAGATAGAGTCATGTGTCAGAGCCAAATATAATCGGGTAAATAAAAGCTTCGACTTTGCTGGCTAGGCCATATGGAAAGAATGGTAGAGGATCGAGTGTTAAATTTTTAATAATGTTGATGTTAAATTAATAGAATAGCATGGCAATCGCACTCACATACCGCGTCTGCATACACAAAAAAATACCTATTTAAATGCTATGCTGGATAATTCCAAATCGTTCCGAGAAAAGGATAGTACATCTGTGCGTTTGTTTTTTTCCTCAATTAATTACTGAGGTTCGTGGTAGTTTGAGCATTTTTTTGAAGTGTACAACCAGACTCGCTCAAACTCAAGAGCGAACCCATTTCTCTTGGACCGTGATGTAAGCCTTACAACCCTCCGAGCTGGGTCTAGTTTTGTACGATTTCAAGTATTTTAACAAATAACAGTTTGTCGTGGATCCTGATTATACCATACATACTGCATGCATACTCCTAGACAGATTATTCTGCTGCTGATATCATCATCATATTATCATTGATTAGTTTTTCTAGAATATGCCAGATGTTTCTAATATTATAATACCTTAAAAACCTCATTATGATTTCGCTGTTATTCTCAAATACTATTTTTAGTTTATTAAGACTTCCACACAGGAATTCGACGTGAACACATCTATGTTATCGTAATAAATTGTAAATGTTTAAGAGAAAAACAACAACAGGATATGACATGAACAATGATTCAAACAGTTAATAATATTTCCGCTGACTTCTAAATGATCTTCGTGCTGATATATATATATATATATTGGAGCCTTTTTGGAGATTTAAAACTTAAATAGAATATTTAAGTTTTAAATCTCCAAATGTCCTCACAAAACTAAATGATAAACAAAAAAAATATTTTGATATGTTTTGCTGTCTTTTTGTTACCACTTTCCATTGCCAAAACAATCCCGGGACTATCCCGGGATCCCGAGATTAACTGTAGATAATCAGATAATAAGATTATAAAAATCGACCGGGATCGAATCCTCTAGTCGTCGTTCATAATATCAGCATATTCCTCGTTCGTGTAGATCGAAATCTACAACCTTCTTATTTTCTTAATTTTCTCTATTTTACGGAGGATACGAGATAATAAAGAAATTTACAAACAAACATTTGTATGTTTCGCACATATCACAAGATAAAAACATTACCTACCCTTCCTTGGCAGTCGGGTAAAATAACCATTTTTGATACATATAAAGGCAGTCTCTATAGAAAAAGAAAAGTCACATATGGCGGAGTTTACAATGACCAGAAACATAAAAGAAGATAAATGAAGTCATGAAAAGAAAAAAGGGTAAATAACCTGCAAATAGTCCAATCCAGGAACATAAATATATCTTTACGTTCATGGCCTTGATATGGCTAATATTGTAGCAGTTCATTAAACCACAGCGGTGGTACAGACACCACCGGTGTCATCAACCCACATGACATGAAAAGACTTCTACGAAATGTATATTCACTTATGGTACATGATTTTCCTATTATATTACGGCATTTTAAATGTATATTAAATGGATTCTTTAAAAATAAAACATTCAGTTTGGTAAAGAAATAAAATGTTAAAGTTTTCTTCCAATATAAAATATTAACTCATGATCTGAAAAATCTTATATAATACTTCAAATCCCGGTTTCTTCAGTAGAGCTTGCTCTCTACTGTACGATCCCTTGACCTCCATTGATATATTTTTTATAATGATTTATAAACAATATATTATTTACTATGATTTCTAAAGTAAAAGTCTTTATTAATCAATAAACTATCCCACTAACTACTATCCTAATTACGAATACCTGATACAAAGATATGAAGCAAATATAAAATCTATACTAATATTATAAAGCTGAAGAGTTTGTTTGTTTGTTTGTTTGTTTGAACGCGCTAATCTCAGGAACTACTGGTCCGATTTGAAAAATTCTTTCAGTGTTAGATAGCCCATTTATCGAGGAAGGCTATAGGCTATATATCATCACGCTAAGACCAATAGGAGCGGAGCACCAATGAAGAATGTTTCAAAAACGGAGAAAATTTATTACTATTGAGAGACGCAGACAAAGTTGCGCGGGTCAGCTAGTACCTAAGTTATATAAAGATTTCAATCAAAGTAATTATTGATTGCTTTATAAAAGGTTCTATTGTTTAGATATTGAACTGATTTCATATTTTGGATTATGTAATAGTTATAACACTCAATGTTACAATGTAAAGAATTAACTGAAAAGATAATTCGATATTTCCTAATCTAATTATTACTAACGAATGGAAATTGTCTGATGTTTCGAGCAGACTGCACTGGCCGTGGTCGGCGGGTCGTAATACCTATATGTGAGTAACAATATCTAGCCACGTGAAAGTTCAAAAGTCGATATTTACTTTCCATTGTCTTTATTCGGTTCTTGCTTGTATCGTAAATATTGTTAATTATTACACTGTTGTTAATGCATTGTAATGTCATATTGAAACCTAAAAACAAATAACTCAAATACTTCTTTATTAGTACCAATTTAGATAATTAACTTTTACATCACGTTTGTCCTATTGGATGTGTGTCCAAGTAATATTTTATTTTATTCCATAGGGAAAATGTTATAAATAAAAATAGAACCATTTAATTAACGAAATAATTAAAAGGACCGGACGAAAAAAAACAATAAAACAACATATTTATATAACGTAAGGTAGTTTTGTTAAACGATAAATATTAAATACCCCTATACAGTCGCTATTCTAGCAATGCCCCTTGCGCGCTAAAACCAGTCCCATAGCTGCAGCAGATCTAGGCCGTAGAGGCAGACAGTAATTTATTGTTCATTACTGGAGCTAAGGGCCCAATGCAAGTTTAAATTACATCAACCCGCTCTCGATAGCGAGCGCGTGCGGCGTTGCGATTGGTGAAGATGTCAGTGCCGGCCAATCGTAGCGTCGAACGCGGTCACCGTGACGATCGAGTAGATGTGAAATAAACTCACACTAAGGCCTCAGAGGGCCAAGTGCAAGAGTCAGTTAATATAAAATAAACTAGGCTTGGCCTTTTGAACTACTCTCGCTGATCTAGTAATAATAACCAGAAGTGGACTTCTGACCGTGCAATGCCCATAGTAATGTAGGTTTGTGTGGAAAACAAATTATATTTGTTTTTAAGAATTCTGCTATCTGTATTTTAGAATTTTTAGCAAAAGTAAGATTTGTATCCTTAGACCGTCCCTTTAGTATGGATGTGACAGTTTTTGTATATTGTATCTATACTTATACAAAAAGCTCCGGTTTAATATTTACGGTATGACAATATTATTATAGTATGAGTCACCGTTATCTTGAAAATGAACTTTGCTTACTGTAGTTAATATTTAGTTTTCGATCCTAGACTTTTGTAATTAATACTTGTCATCATCAAATCTTCCAACCTTCTAGGGTCTATAGTATCAATCGGATTGAATTCGAGAACGCATTTTTTTATCTTTCACTAACGAAAACTTCCAGGTTATTCTTAAGTTATATTTTATGCAGTTTTTCTACCTCGCAATTACGAAGAACAGCCATTTCCATGAGTTGGCTGTTTCTTTATTGTTGACAGCGTGCCTGGCCTATGTCTTTTGCCAAGAACTTTACAAAAGATTAACCCATTCCCATGAAAAAGCAAGCAGTCGAGAGAGGTTACTTTTCCAAATTTCACACTATTTCATTTCCACTTTTCCAACAGTAAGGAAAATTTCCTAAACTTCCTTATTAATAATTACGGGGAACAGTATCACTTAACATCTGCTGCACTTAACATGTAATCACTAACCGTAACACACATCCTATAGCCTCTTCGTCTTCCTTTACTACAATTGCAAATAATTATGTTTATCTCAAAATGTTTTCAATGTTGGCAGTAACAGATAATTACTTACTTCCTGTGAGCGGTGTGATAGCCTTCTCTCCGTCATGTTGAAACATTTGCAATGTCGCCACTGTCGCCTTTAACTGCTCGTACTCCCGTGCCATTTGCTTCTGAACCTGCAAGAGTAACGAGTGTGCTAATATTACTACTATGCTAATATTATAAAACGAAATAGTTTGTTTGGTTGAACGCGCTAATCTCAGGAAGTACTGGTTCGAATTGAACAATTATTTTAGTGTTGGATAGCCTATTTAGGCGAGGGTACGGGCTTTGTATATAATACGCAAAGTTGCACGGGTCAGCTGGTACATTCATATACGGATATCGTGAAGTCAGTTTTGAAGACCGTTTGTGTGAACTGTGTAGGTCCAGATAAAGGTACGAGTAATATAATGACTATAAATGAAACCATCTTCATAAACTTGCACGAAAATATTTAGTCAGAATATTTAATAAATGGTAAAACATATTAGTAGCAAATCTATTTTTTATTATGACAAAATAAAAACCTATAGCTTATTTAACTTATTAAAAACTTATAGCTGAGCTGCTAAGAGATTCTTGTATCTTTATATTATAAAGTTCAAGACATACAGCAAAAGGGCGATTTCAGTCTGTGAGTAGGTATAAATGGCGAACAGAACAGAAGAGTGGGAGTTTAATGTTTGTGAGTGTTATCTAACGAGCCAAATAAATGAACGGCTCTAGAAATGTTTAAGTTTCGGCAGCTTTATGTCACAGTTAAGTTGATAAATTTATCAATTAGCAGTAAAACTAAACAAATTGGCAAAATTGTGTTGCCGAGCTATCGAAAACTTTGCAAAGTTTTGCTTAGATACGTTCACTAAATAATGCTTGTGCGTGTTGGAAGGATATATATTATTGATATCACCCTAATTTAACTATGTACCTTAAGTAAAAAGGCGGAACAGGTTTCTGCTCTAATGAAAGTCAATTATTATAGAAGTCCTACAGAACAGCGGACATAGATTACACGTTTGCACCAACAGCCATCGTTGTTTCTATCGAGATGATTAACCTGCTCTAAGAAGAAATCACTAAACAACTTTGACCACCGACCTTTACACGTCAATCGCTGTGGGTGCGATTTATTACTTGATAGTATTGTCCAAGTTCATACAAAGGCTTTTGATGAGAAAATAAAATCCTGACCAAGCAGTGTAACAGCACCAATAGTTAAGTAAAAAATCTATCTGAACAAAAAAAAATAGGGTACACGGAAATTAAGTTCGCGCCGTCAAAAGCTATAGCAAATATACGTATAAGTATGACCAACCGTATTTATTTAAATAACAAGTTTAAAATGCGTACTTGTCAGAATTATTACTATAAGAAGTAGCTAGCTATAGAAAGCTTAGCCTCAGGATATATTTGATGAACTAGAATTGCCTCTGTGGGCGTCAGTTTGTGTTCACGAGTCAATATTATGACACTCCTCTATTAGTTATTCAGGAACGCAGACATAGTTATTAAGCGCAATCAAATAGATTTATAGTCTTTGAAAGTGCTAAAGGGTTAATATATCTAATAGAATTCCTACCAACGTAAATTAGTGGCAGTTGTCTGTAGATCGTGCATCGATACAAAATATCGTTTCAATGATGTAAACACCGTTAAAAGTCCACTCCCCATACATAGATAATACACTAGTAGTAATAATAATAACTTAACACCTCTCAAACGTCTGATTGATTCTAAATTAGACACAGCGTGTATCATGGTAACCAGATTTTACATAAACATACTAATATATTTTTAAATTCTAACATAACTACAGATTAATAACACTTAGAAATCGAACCCACAGCCTAGCAGTCGTAACCAGTAATCATTAGCCAGTTGTTAGTAAGTTTTGTATTCTACAAAATAGAAATTACTCAAGATCATAAATACAAAAATATAAGATAAATAAAAATAGTGAAGGCGGGAGCAGTGTTGTTTTATTTTAGTACACTGATAATAAATAGTTTTAGATGTTGAATTAAAATAAAATAAATGAGCTACTTTAAGTAAGTGTGTATTTTGAGGTACTCACACTTTTATACAGTTCATAAAATGGGGTAGTTTATATTATTGTGTAACGTTTTTATATTTTTAAAAGGTAATTCAGGTTTTCTTGAGTGAAATACATTCAAGTTTTGATGGTCTGTCTTGGTATGAAAATAGCTCAAGTAAGTATAATAAACATAATTAACTCAAAAAAAACAGAAACATAATGAGCAAAAGCATTTTTGTACGTCAGTACTAGGTGATGTCTCTTTAAGCCTATTTTCTAATCTTATCTTTAGGGTGACGTAGTGTAAACAAATATTAATTAAACATCTAGTCACACCGTATCAGAATGTTTTCAGAGTGCAGAAAATTCCGAATCCGAATCATTAGTTGAAATGATTCGGAATTTTAGATTGTTAGTTGTAGGTGTGAACAACCTTGTTATGTAAGTTTCTGCAATCTTATATTATCTTTGGTAAATGCAACGTCTCATAGTGATTCCGAAAGTGCTCAAATAATGAGGACTCATAGGATTATTTTTACTTCTTTATTATATAATCAATAATGAGTGTTCCACGTGTCCTGTTATACTTAAATAGTTATTGCCCGCGGATTCGGCGCATGATTATTTCTTATTTCGTGTTTCTAACTTTGAAAATGTTAACTTATTTATCTCCTTAAAAACCATGCCTAATCAGGCTTTATCCCAGGGGAAAAAACACTTGACATTTCCAAAAATCCTTTCTTAGTGGGTGCTTACAACATTAAAAGCATCAGCTGCCAAAATTTCAAGGTTTTAGCCCCAGCGGTTTAGGCTCTGCATTGAAGAATCAACAGCAGCAGTGAGGGCAAGTAATTTTATATGTATGGATAATGATACGTAATAAAGTCTATAAGGTTTCTACTGAATGAATCGTTTCGACGTTTAAAGATAGAGATAGATTTCTTTGTCAGAATATAGCAAACCAACTAATCAAATACCATTTAATCTTCCATAGGTTGCAAGGGAATAATAAATTAAAAAGAAAAAACTCAGACAGCTTCGAATTTCAATTCCATCACGTAGATACAACTTTTTATGAAGTTCCCATAGGAAATCTTTTTTTTTATTAAACTCCGAAGTCGACCGCACCGACACCGCAATAACAGTGGCATAATTAGTGTCCAGTTCTCTTCTTATTATGCCATAACGGGAAAGGCTGTATGCCTTGAATATCAATGTGGATTGTACTGAACATTGACCGCATCCAGCATAGAGAGATACAGTTCACGTGTACAAGTATTTTTGGAATGCAATTCAGTAAAATATATATAATTCATTGCATATATGATAGTTAACGATTTTATGCGCCTACAGAATAACCTTATCTCGGCCGGACCTATTTCATTTCCAAGTAACTCGTATGACACTTTAGTAAAAAGGCCTACCCTTTAAGTTACATAAAATTTTATTTCTTTTAGGTTTATGGCACAGCTATGAATATTTAATGTTGTGTGTAAATTATAAATAATATACATACAATAAAATCAAAACATGTATAAACTTTGTAAACACACTGAAGTTAAATATTTCAAACCCGTATTAACTTTTAATCATTCAAAATTAATAATGATATAATTTGAAACCGGTTTGGTAATGATTTAATTTTTTATTATGGGTTTAGTCCAAGAATAAAAAACTACTAATAATATAAAGCAGGTAGATCACAGTAAATTACAAATCCCAATTTAAGTTGATGAACTAACCGAATAACAAATATGTACATATATCAGAGAGCAACAAAAATATACATACATCGAACGTAAGCGATTTTTCTCGATGTGGACACAAAGGTGAAAATACGATCTCTCACCACTATTATCACACAATGTTCTTTCACAATAAAAATCTTAATCACTTCCCACACAAAAACTAAAAACGGTTGGGTAACATCCGGCCGACATCACACACCATAACGTGTTATTTACACCTAATAAGAACTTTAATACCTTGATCTACTTCTTTAAAGAGGCACCACTAGACATCTTAACATATTTAAGAAAATAAAATATAGCAAAACTAAAACTACCCACATAAATAACTCGACAGAAAATTAGGACACGGCACTAACTTTACAGAATTATCAATCATATAATACACGCCGTAATATTACGAGTGTAAGGACGTAAATGGCATGAATAATTTGACAGAACGACACAGTTACACGTACATAATTGGACACCCCAAAGGCGCGAGTGTACGACCGATATACCGCGTTCGTCGACCCTAGCGTCGTGTCGTCAACACTTCAGCCCGCTGACACGCCGAGGCAACACACGCATGACATTATAAAACAAGGAACAACTTCGACAATAGAACAAACGGTTGGCGGCTATCCAGTCACTGAATTAGATTATGTGACCTAAACTGAAGCAAGAAACCTACGACCTGCCAGCTTGCATGGATCATAAAATTCTGCTATTAATCTGAAATATTCTCAGAACCTATAGCTTCATTCTTCAATTGTACATTTGTGGGATCAAAGAATTGAATATTTAGTTGGCATTTGCCTCTGAACCCAATTCGGTACACAATGTAAACCTACTCCTTATAAGCTTGAACGTAAAAGTTACCAAGAATAGTAGGAACGCGTGACCGAAGTATCTGACGGCATTTCTTAAAAGAAATGAAGGTCATTCTTAACTGGTGATGTATATAGACTGTGATATGTATGATAAAGATAAACTGAATTTAAATAACTGACGTCACATTTACTAACCTATCTCAGTGCAAGTGATTTGCATTCATGGTTGTACTAAAAGCAAAAAGGTACAGTTTTAGTGTAAATATTGCTTTTGACTATGTCAAAGTAAGGCAGCAATAAACAGTTCACTATTTAAAATGGTGCCCAGAAACAATGCCTTCCTCCATATTCGTAACTGAACTTACCTAACCAGTTACAAGAAAATATTTTTTTTCGTTGTTTTGGTAACTAGTTGTGGGAGAAGAATTCCACTTTGGTAACTTGACTTCCCTAACCAGTTAGAGGAGAAGATTTTTCTTTCGCTGTTTGGTAACTAGTTATGAAAGAAGAATTATTATTCCATTTTTGTAGATCGAATA